TAAGCCCAGGCGACTATTCCCATAATTTTCTATAACAACTAACAAGTTAGAAAAAAATTATGAAAAAATAATACATAGTGAACAAATTTAATTAAAAGTAAAATTGAATATATAACTTATAATAAATAAATATAGTATAATACTGTACATACGAATAAATAATTATATAATTGTGATTTTAATGATTGTGACTATAGTAATATCTATAGTTATTTGTTATCAATGATTACGTATTACACAAAAAATAAGTATTTCATTGCAATGATGTTATTCTTTACAAATCAATCATAGACTAAAACACCTATTTATTAATAATTTAAATAATAAATTAATATCTTGAGTATAAGACTAGTACAACATTGGGTTTGTGTTATAGTGAATGAGAGCAAAATGTTTAAAATATTTAATTCAAAACCCAAGAAACGAGTGCCACAGGGGCCGAGTCCTGGTGAGGCTATTCAGAGGTTTGTGTATTTTTGTGTATTAATACTGTGTATATATATTTTATACTTTAATGTGTTTGATTATCACAATAAATAATAATTAACAAAATTATTTAACATAAAATTGTATTCAATTGTTCAATGAAACGACACAACAAATGGTGAATTGTGTGGACTGTATGTATAGAATCCGAACCGTAGAGGAAATGATGAACAAAAAGCAAGAATTTCTTGAGAAGAAGATTGAGACAGAAGTGGAGATAATCCGGAAGAATGGGATGAAGAACAAGAAGGTGTCGATGGCTGCGCTCAAGAGGAAGAAGCGATTGGAGAGTCAGTTGCAGCAAATCGATGGCACTCTAACCACTCTGGAGTCGCAGCGAATATCACTGGAAAACGCTCACACCAATGTCGAAGTGCTTCAGTCCATGAAATACGGCGCCGACGCTCTCAAAGTGGCCCAAACCAGGATCGGCGACGCGGATCGGGTGCAGGACGTCATGGACGACATCCGAGAGCAGCAGGAGTTGGCCCAAGAGATCAGTGACATCATCTCCAATCCCGTTGGCTTTGGGCACGACGTCGGCGATGAGGACGAACTGCTCCAAGAATTGGAAGAACTCGAACAGCAAGAGCTCGACCATCAACTCCTTAATACTGATCACTTGCCTTCAGTGCCCACCGCACAACCCATGGCCTCCCTTTCCAGTAAGTCCTACGGTAGGACTCCTACCTTTAAAATATATATTTTAAACATATTAATAATCATAAATTATGATTAATTATAAAGCATATTATAATGAATAGCACACAATCAACAATATAATGTAGATTCTAAAGTACATAATTATATATACAGACAGTAGTAGAATATTGTTCAACACTACGGTAGCAATACTGTACAAAAGCAAGTAAGAGTGTACTACAAGAGTGTATATTATTGTAAAACTATTATACTAGGTATCAATTAGTCTAATTTTACAATGAGAACAATGATTGAAAAATTGTATATAATGTAATGATAACTCGTTAACTACAAGACTAATACATGGTTTGATTGCAGAGATCAAAAGCAAAGGCAAATCGAAAGAAAGTGATGATATGGACAACACTTTGAAGGAATTGGCCGATTGGGGCATTTAAGGGTATATGTC